GCAGAAATGCAAAGATGGACCCGATTTTTCATGCCCGTCATGTGGAACAATGTGTTTTCAACAAAACGTGGCAAAGGCGAAGCACGGAAATGCGGAACAAATCGTGTGTCAAAGTTGTGCACGTTACATTAGGAAAGGAAAGGATCCGCCATTTTTTACGTTAAATAAAGTAGGCTTTCCGTCTCAACCCGTTGAACTCAAAAACCTTACAACGCTAGAAGAGCGTTTAATAAGTCCGCGCATACCATTTATGAATATACGTTCATTGTCCATTGGAAAACAGTACGGTATACGAGGCGGAGTTATCAACATTCCAGTTGAAGTTAACCAGATGGTATCCTCATTACCGAGGTTGCTCGATGATACACATACCGTTACGGTCAGATTGAAACGCAAGATGGAGTACAAACATAGCGCATTTGAGGAAAACGTGAGGCCTGCTAAAATATTGAAAGCGATAAACTTCCTTTGTAGACAACAACTTTTTACTGACAACAAAATTGTCTTAAACAAAATTAATTTGAACCGGTTAAGCACTATACACAGCAAACCACGTATGGACAATGCGAATTCAGCCAATGCCGAAAGCGATTCTTCATCAAGAGAGTCAAGTGATAGCAACGATGCGAATAGCGTAAACGTTGGTGTACTCGACACTCTTATTACGCAAGAGCCTTTTTATCAGCATCCATCACAGAGCTTGGTGCAAATGGCACCAGGAGAGCAATCAAAACCATTGTCCATAATATTAGATAAAGATGTCGAAGAATTGAGTTTCCCAACAATCTATGGTGGTAATCATAGAGTGCGTGCAGCAACAGACTTGCATGTATCGTATTCAGATATTGCAAAGTGGGAACTAAAGCATAGAAATGGGCGATGCTCATCAAATATATCCAACATTTTTTTCAAAATGTATAAAAAAGAGATATTACAGGTGCAAAATGTAATTGCCACGCGTGTACGACAAGACAAAATTAGGAATCTAGAAGCATTTACCGCGACAGATATGTTGAACGAAAATAAGCGTTTCACGCTTCAACAAAACGATACCTTATATAATGATTTTAAGGTCATCCGTTCAACACAACAATACAGAGACAATTGCAAGCGCGATCTTTTTGCACTTTTGCGTCAAATCGGTAGGCCAACGTTCTTTATAACCATGTCAATGGCAGATACCCGCTGGGTTGATCTTCATGCGATACTTTTAAGAATAAATACATTACGTGGGAATCCGTGTAAATTGCCGTCCGGTATAGGCTTACCGTTACAGTATAGTACGATTACCACGTTGGTAAGAAATGACCCTGTGACTTGTGCACGATATTATGCTCATAGAAAGAGATTGCTGTTTTGTTATATGTTGAATAAGAAGTCAGACGTTCTTGATGGAATCGATGACTATTTTGCACTTGACGAATTTCAACATCGTGGCGCGCCGCATACGCATGCCGTTGTTTGGAGTAAAGGTGCGAACGAGATTGGCATCGTTGGAGCGGACGCTATTATAAGGTACGCAGATAAACATATTAGTACGAGCTCTAGAGGCTTACATCCACAATTGCTGTCGTTACAAACACACAAACACTCAAGAACTTGCCAACGATCGAGTTCCTTACGTAAGTGTAGGTTTGGTTTTCCAAGATTTCCGTTACCTTCAACGATGCAAATAAAGGTATGAGTACCATGATGCAAAAGGCTTTAGCATACGCTCGTAATAAAAAATCAGGAATAAAGGGAATTCTTCGTACCATTGGAAACGCTATGTTGAATTCTCAAGAAATAAGCGCACAAGAAGCATGCTATTTGCTACTTGGGTTACAGTATCGCATGTCAACACGACAAGTCATCTTCATTAATACATCACCACATAACGAACGACTACTAACCCTTAAATCTATTAATAAATTGCGCCAATTAGAATCAACGAGCACGGACGTGTATGAACCCTACGCATGCATTCAAAAGTATAAGTTAAGGCCTGAAGCTATGGAACATACGTGCTTGGCCGATTTTATTTCAAAGTATGAATTGGCCCCATACGATTCGAGCAAGCATAAATTACACTTGATTGGTCCTGACTTAACTAAGGAAAAGAGATTCTATTATAAGCGCGGAAAGTCTAAGATAATAAGATTTGTGAATTATCATAAGAATCAGAATTATAACAATTATATTCGAGAGAGGGTTTTATTGTTTCATCATTTTCGAGAGGAGCCAATCGACCATGCTGAATGTTCTGATGCATATCACAGATTTGAGCGAGATATTATTGCGAAAGAGCAAGAGTTCACGAAAGAGTTAGATACATGGGCTGATGCATTCAAAGAAACCGAACAAGCCAACGATGATCGCATATCAATTGAAACACAAGATTCAAATTATATAGTTGACCATATCGATCTTGCAAACGAATTGAATATGCAAGATGTTGTTAAAAAGAGCACTGATTTGTTCAAGCATATCAACGTTGACAGTTCGGAATATATGCTGCTGGAGAAGATATTAAATGCGGAACAACGCGCGATTAGTGATCATGTCGTGCATCACATACGGAAAAGTTATACACCGCTTCGTCTGTTTATATCTGGTGGAGCTGGAGTGGGAAAATCGGTTCTCATTCGAGCTTTGACGGAAAGGATTACACGGATGTTTAATGCAACGATTCATTCTGACCCTACATCTCTCAAAGTGTTGAAATTGGCGCCATCCGGAGTTGCTGCTTTTAACATAAGTGGGTACACTATTCATAACGCTTTAATGATTCCAGTTACGCAAAACCGAACAATATCAAATCTATCATCAGAACGAGTGAACACGCTACGGTCCAATTTATGTGACGTGAAGGTTGTTATAGTCGATGAAGTTTCAATGCTTGGCGAGCACACATTTCGATGGTTGGATTGGCGGCTAAGGGAGTTACGAGGAAAACAACACATCCCATTTGGAGAATTACATGTCATATTTGTAGGAGACTTCTTTCAGTTACCACCGGTAGCCGATAGATACTGTTTTGCAAAGACAAAATCATTGAATACAATGGTTGAAGATAACGTATGGGAGCTTTTCTCAATGGTTGAGTTAACAACTATAATGCGTCAAAAAGATGAGACCGAGTTTGCCGCACGCTTAAACAGATTGCGAGAGGGAAAACACACTAGAGAGGATGTCGATTTCTTCTTATCGTTGAATACGTATGGCGAGCAAAAATTAAGTGTCCAACATATTTTTGGAAGAAACGCAGATATAAACGAATTCAACAATAGAAAGTTTGAGCTAACGCACAACGAGAAGCATATCATACAAGCATACGACTTACATCTATTTGACAAACGTTCCACTCGATGTAAGCGACCATCAGGGAGCGCACCAAAGGATCCGAAAAAAACTGCGGGTCTTTATGCAACCTTATTCCTGTATGTTGGATGCAAAATTCATATTGTCTTAAATGTTGATACCACCGACGGCCTTGCAAACGGTACGTCTGGCACAATATATTGTTTTTCTATGGATGAAACAAATGAGGTCTCTATCATCTGGGTGCTATTTGACAACGTTCGGGTTGGTGCGAAGGTGCGTAACAACTGTAGAAGCATGTATACTACATCGGCAATAAACAATCATTTGTTAACCCCAATCGTTCGTGTCGAGCGAAAATTCTCTATTAACCGAATGTGCGAAGAGATCTCAAGGCTACAATTCCCCCTTCGCCCTAGTGCGGCTATAAGTATACATCGCAGCCAAGGG